GCTCACTAGGCTAATCCTCCGCCTAGCGGCGCCGGCACACCGGGTTCTAGTCCCGGTCGGGGCACCGGATTCTGTCCCGGTTGCCCCTCTTCCAGGCCAGCCCTCTGCTGTGGCCAGGGAGTGCAGTGGAGGATGGCCCAGGTGCTTGGGCCCTGCACCCCATGGGAGACCAGGAGAAGCACCTGGCTCCTGGCTCCTGCCATCGGATCAGCGCGGTGCGCCGGCCGCGGCAGCCATTGGAGGGTGAACCAACGGCAAAGGAAGACCTTTCTCTCTGTCTCTCTCTCTCACTGTCCACTCTGCCTGTCAAAAAAAAAAAAAAAATGCACTTAAGGCACCTGACCCACTGAACATAGCAGTTGTCCTTACCTACCTCAAAAGTGCTCGGAACACTTAGTTCTCCTGCAGCTGAGCAATGGCATCTCACTCAAAGCCTATCTTAAAGTGGTTTTGAACGTCTAGTGTAAACTGAACGCGGCGCTGAAAGTGACAGACGGTTGTACAGTACTTGCTGTTAAAGTGCACTGCCGAAAGCACGCTGGGCCTGAAGAATGTCTGAAGCAAGGAACTAGAATTACTTACTGGATGCTAAGGATGCTACGGTGGCAGAGCCATTGGCTTCTTTTTCCTCCGATGAGGCTAGCGCCTCGCTCGGCTAGAAGGCACTGGGGCATCGTTCCCAGTGCCTGGATGGGCAGGCGTAGCGTTCTTCAGGAAGATATCAAGTCTGGGCCATGCAGTTTGTTTCTTCTTTGCCTTATTATTATTTTTTTTTTTGACAGGCAGAGTGGACAGTGAGAGAGAGAGACAGAGAGAAAGGTCTTCCTTTTGCCGTTGGTTCACCCTCCAATGGCCGCCACAGCCGGCGAGCTGCGGCCGGCACACCGCACTGATCCGATGGCAGGAGCCAGGTGCTTCTCCTGGTCTCCCATGGGGTGCAGGGCCCAAGCACTTGGGCCATCCTCCACTGCACTCCCTGGCCACAGCAGAGAGCTGACCTGGAAAAGGAGCAACCGGGACAGAATCCGGCGCCCCGACCGGGACTAGAACCCGGGGTGCCTGCGCCACTAGGTGGAGGATTAGCCTAGTGAGCCGCGGTGCTGGCCGCCTTTTATATCTCTCTAGAGTAAGCCAGCAATACTGGATCTGCCTGTCAGCTCTTGTGAATCTCTCATAACTGAAGTCCCTCTCTTCTGATGTCCCTGTGCCACTGCTCATAGTGGCAAGTGCTCCTGCCAGTCTCTCTGCTGTTAACTTCCTTGGTGCTTCAACTTCTTTCTTTCTCCCATTTGAGCAGCTCCTCACTGGAAAGCTCTTTGGCCTCAGGGCCAACAAGCTCATGAATAAACTCTCCATCAATGTCCAATTCTAGATGCTTCCCAAGCACTAATATCTTGTAACTTTACTATCTCATCAATAGCAGAATCCTTGCTAAAGCCTTTGAATGTATTCACCGGTTTTCAGAGTTTTCTCCCCAGTGCTGTTCCTGTGTGACTTCTCTCTGCACTGCAACAGTGTGGCAGATAGCATGCACTCACAGCATGTTAAAAACTTTCCCAAACTCTGGAAGCGTCCAGCCAGATCCAGTCACTTCAACAGGCTAAGTAAATGTTGGGCATGTGTAAATAGGATGCTTTGGAAAAAGCTGTTGTGCATTGGTCCATTAGCTGAATTACTGCAGTTAGGTTTGGTGGCAAATACACAACCTTTACATCAGGAACTTATTTTGATGATTTGCTGTGGGTGCCCTCGAGATAAAAAAAAAAGTCTTGAGTGGGTAGTTGTTTTGTTACAATAATCTCTTGTCTGTAGAATGAAACAGTGGGCCAGCGCCGCGGCTCACTAGGCTAATCCTTCGCCTGCGGCGCCAGCACACCGGGTTCTAGTCCCAGTTGGGGTGCCGGATTCTGTCCTGGTTGCCCCTCTTCCAGGCCAGCTCTCTGCTGTGGCCAGGGAGTGCAGTGGAGGATGGCCCAAGTGCTTGGGCCCTGCACCCCCTGGGAGACCAGGATAAGCACCTGGCTCCTGGCTCCTGCCATCGGATCAGCGCAGTGTGCCGGCCGCAGCGTGCTGGCCGCGGTGGCCATTGGAGGGTGAACCAACGGCAAAGGAAGACCTTTCTCTCTGTCTCTCTCTCTCTCTCACTGTCCACTCTGCCTGTCAAAAAAATAAATAAATTAAAAAAAAATAAAAAAGAATGAAACAGTGAAAAAAAAATTGGTAAGGAGGGAGCAGCGTTGTGGCATAGTGGTAAAGCCGCTGCCTGCAATGCTGGCATCCCATATGGGCGCGCGTTCAAGGACCCAGCTAGCTCCCTGCTCATGGCCTGGGAAAAGCATCGGAAGATGGCCCAAATGCTTGGGCCCCTGCCACACAAGTGGGAGACCTGGAAGCTTCTGGCTCCTGGCTTTGGCCTGGCCCAATCCTGGCTATTTCAGCCATCTAGGGAGTGAACTAGCAGATGGAAGATCTCCCTGTCTCTGTCATTTTGACTTTCAAATACATCTTTTTTTTTTTTTTAAAAGAATCAGTGTGGAACAATGCTGATGTCATATAGGCCTTCTTGTTAGGGTGATAATGAATGGGCGGCATATACTTGCTCACAGTCTTGAAGGCTCTAGGACTCTGTGAATGTGAGTTTAGGAGAGACTGCAGCATTTCCACACAAAGTAGCATTACTTGGTGTTTGAATGCCTTGAATCTTGGCAATGTCTTGGACCTCTTCTTTTTTTTTAAAGCTTTCTTTCTTTATTTGAAAGAAAGAGAAAGAGAGAGAGATTTTTCATCTACTGGTTCACTCCCCAAATACATCTAACAGTTGGGACTGGGCCATGCTGGAGCCAGGAGCTGGGAACTCAGTCTGGGTCTCCCACGTGGGTAGCAGGGATCCAGGTATTTGAGCCATCACCTGCTGCCTCACACTGTGTGCATTAGCAGGAAATTGAATCGTAAGTAGAACAGGGGCTGAAACCCAGGTATTCCAATACGGAATGTGGGTCTTCAGCAACTGTGGTGCCACAATGCCCACCCCTGTCTAAGATGCTTCTGTGATTCATGTATGTACACTCTGGCATGTGCTTCAAGAAAAAATATATTTCATTGGCATTAAATATTTGTTTTTGCCAGTAGTTCTCGTCCACAATTATCCTATGCAGCAATTCCTCAAAGGCTTTGGCATCTTCAAGTATTAGCACCTGCCACCTCATGGCTGATGTTCACATTATGAATGCTATGATGCCTTTGGTAGCATCAGAACCATCCATGACTTGCTGTAAACATTTAGATCCTATGTAGGATCATCAGCACACCCTTTTAGCATATCAAAAAGAGATCTTGCTTTAGTCGGGTACCCAGTAGGCTAACCAGTGTGTGTATCTGTCCCTGGTCCTTCATCCACGTGACAAGTGATTTCCCCATGTTATCTGTTGACCCAGTTCTTTTCTTCACAATGATGCTGGATTAAAATCTGCTGACAAGTTCGTACATCTCTGATTTGCTTCTCGTGCTTTACGACGGCCAAGACTGCTGACTGTGGAAGCTGTCTCTCCCGTGCCATAGCCATGACTGGCTTGCTGTCTTCATGTTGGGCAGTTATCTTGGGCAGCTCAATAGGCTAATCCTCCTCCTGCGGTGCTGGCACCCTGGGTTCTAATCCCGGTCGGGCGCTGCATTTTGTCCTGGTTGCTCCTCTTCCAGTCCAGCTCTCTGCTGTGGCCCGGGAGTGCAGTGGAGGATGACCCAGGTCCTTGGGCCCTGCACCTGCATGGAAGACCGGGAGAAGCACCTGTCTACTGGCTTTGGATCAGCGCGGTGCGCCAGCTGCAGCGTGCTGGCCGAAGCGGCCATTGGGGGGTGAATCAATGGAAAAGGAAGACCTTTCTCTCTGTCTCCCTCTCTCACTGTCCACTCTGCCTGTCAAAAAAAAAAAAAAAAAGTAACTGTGTTCCTTCTCTTCTAACTAGAAACAGTATGGGCATTTTGTAGGCATGACAGGAGGTGAAAACATGAACCACAATATCTGAAGAACCCTGACAGCACTATCCTGGGAGGTGTAGTTTGTTTTCCTTGATGGCAGTGTGGCTGACGGGCTGAGGCTGCTGCCTCCCAGCATCAGGAGAGAGCATGGTGCCCTGCCTGTCACTCTCCTGGGAGGAAATTAAAAATCAAGGTTCACAGTATGATTTTTTTTACCAAATGTGTATCATTTGTATATCATTATAAAGTCAAAAAATCATAAGTTGAACCATTGTAGGTCAGGGACCATCTTTACATTTTTAACTTTTGACATGATTATAATGTAGTACAAACATGCAGAGGAGTACATGGAATACATAAGCAATGTCTTTTATCCTAACCCAGATTTTAAAAATATTACTCATTTACCGTACAATTTTCAGCTTTAACAAAAAATAAAATCTTCCAGTTGATATTCTGTTTAAACCCCTTCACCCCATTCTCTCATTTCTTACTCTCAGATAATCATTATTTGACATTTATTCCTATTTTTATGATCAGTTATGCACTTAAAATAGGTGGATATAATTCCCAGTTACACATCCTTGATGTCTTCATACAAATATGTAATTATTTTTGCAAAAGTAAGATGGTTTGTTTTGGGTGATATTTTATCTTTTTTTTTTGACAGGCAGAGTTAGACAGTGAGAGAGAGAGAGAGAAAGGTCTTCTTTTTCCATTGGTTCACCTTCCAAATGGCTGCTACGGCCGGCGCGCTGTGCTGATCCAAAGCCAGGAGCCAGGTGCTTCCTCTTGGTCTCCCATGCGGGTGCAGGGCCCAAGCACTTGGGCCATCCTCCACTGCCTTCCTGGGCCACAGCAGAGAGCTGTACTGGAAGAGGAGCAACCGGGACAGAATCCAGTGCCCCAACTGGGACTAGAACCCGGGATGCTGGCACCGCAGGTGGAGGATTAGCCTAGTGAGCCGCGGCGCCGGCTCATCTTTTTTTTTTTTTTTTTTTTTTTTAAGATTTTATTTACTTATTTGAGAGGTAGAATTACAGAAAGAGGGAGAGACAGAGAGAAAGGTCTTTCATCTGCTGGTTCAGTCCCCAAATGGCCACAGTGGCTGGAGCTGAGCTGATCAGAAGCCAGGAGCTAGGAGCTTATTCTGGGTCTCCCACATAGGTGCAGGGGCCCAACACTTGGTCCATCTTCCACTGCTTTCCCAGGCCATATACAGAGACCCAGATCAGAAGAAGAACAGCCAGGACTTGAACTGGTACCCATAGGGGATGCTGGCACCACAGGTGGAGGCTTAGCCTGCTATGCCTCAGCACCGGCCCCAATGTTTTATCTTTTTGTTTTTTTTTTTTCTTTCTTTTCTTTTTTACTTATTTGACAGAGTTAGACAGTGAGAGATAGAAAGGTCTTCCTTCTGTTGGTTCACCCCCCAAATGGCAGCTACAGCCGGAGCTACACGGATCCGAAGCCAGGAGCCAGGTGCTTCCTCCTGGTCTCCCATGCGGGTACAGGGGTCCAAGCACTTGGGCCATCCTCCAGTGCCTTCCCGGGGCCACAGCAGAGAGCTGGAGTGGAAGAGGAGCAACTGGGACTAGAACCTGGCGCCCATATGGGATGCTGGTGCCGCAGGTGGAGGATTAACCAAGTGAACCACAGCGCCGGCCCCGTTTTTTCTTAAAGACACATTTATTCAGCCTCAGGATCAGACTATTACATTTAGCAGTCAATAGCATGGGTGCATAAAATGAAAAAACTACATTAAAACCCTTTGTTGGAATGCTTTACACTTTCCACAGAACAGAAATTAAAATAATCTGTGGTACAATTAGTCACATTGCAGTCCTCAAGTTTTTGCCCATGCACAAGAGTATTGTCTGAAACATGTCTTCTTCGTAGCAGCCGGGCCCTGCCACCGCAGTGCTTGGCTGAGTCCACAAATCTGTTGTAACCTGGAGCCTCCCTGCCACTTCTCTGTCTCTCCTGTCCTGCTATGCTTTGTTTCCTGGCAGTCACCAAAACCTTCTGCCACTGCCATCGCCGCTGCTGCTGCTGCTGGAACCGCCACAGCCACCTGGATTTCGTGGTTCGGCAAAATACTGGCCGCCACCACCATAGGGGCCAGAGCTTCTGCCTCCAAAATTTCCTCCCTTCGTGGGTCCACAATTTGAAGGTTGATGGTTGTAATTGCCAAAATCATTGTAGCTTCCACCGCCTCCAAAATTGCTTCCATCATTACCAAATCCATTGTAACCATCCCCACTGCCACCATAACCACCATTATCTCGGCTGCCACCAAAGCCACCAAGCCCACTGAAGTTTCCTCCATGGCCAAAGCTGTCATCCCATACCATTCAGAATTATCTCGGAGGTGATGTTCTCCAGCGTCTTCTTTATTGCCATCAACAAAGATCTTTTTCACAGTTAGATGGGCACCTGGTCTTCGGGAATCTTCTCTCGATACAGCCCTCTCTGGTTCTGCAACTCTTCCATCCACTTTGTGTGGCCTTGCATTCATGGCCACATCCGCCTCCTCCACAGTGGTGTAGATGACAAACCCTAAGGCCCTGGAGCGCGTGGTGTTCGGGTCTCTCGTGACCACACAGTCGGTGAGCGTCCCCCGTTGCTCAAAATGGCTCCTCAGGCTCTCTCCCGTCGTTCAGAGCGCAGCCCTCCCACTAAGAGCTTCCGTAGCTGTTCGGGCTTTTTAGGAGACTCTGACTTAGACGTGGCAGCTGTGGGAAGAGAGACTTTGGCGATGCTTCCTCGGCGGCGTTCTCAGGCACAAAGGCCGGAGTTTTAACCTTAACGTTAAAGAGTATCATACTATAGTTAACCTGCGTCTTTTCAGTCAGCGTTCATGCCTGCTAATTCATGTGTATTTTAACTGCTATGTGAGTATAATGTGCCATTTTAACCATGCTTCTGTTGGTGGGTGTTTGGACTGTTTGAAATACTTTATTTTTTATATGTGGTTACATGTACATATACATGCAGACATGTATGTATCTCTGTGTGAAATGTGTGCACTGGGGGGAATCGGACCATCTGCACTCTGCCCCCTTGATGCTCAACCCCTACTAGCAAATCAAAGTCTGTCGGACTCTTCTTCCTAGAGAACATGTCAAGGACCACATCCCTAGCAGTCGTCTGATGCAGTCTCCTACTGGAACAGGCAAGGGCCAGCGCACAAGTTTTCTCTCGATTGGTTCTGAAACTGCAGCACACATCAGAATCCGCTGGAGGCCTTCCTAAAGTCCTCTCCCGGGTAAGTCCGTAGGTGTGGGCTGCGGCTGGAGAATCTGTACTTGAGTTCTAACAAGCTCCCCGTTGCTGCTTCTACTGCTGATGAGCAATCAGCTTCTGGAACACTTGGCTCTAGGTATATCAGGCACACTTGTGCAATTCCCCGGGGCCACAGGTTGTGTGCATTCTCAAGCTGCCAGATAATGCTGAGTCAGTTTCCAAAGCACTTGAGTGAGTCTGCACCCCCATCAGCAGGCCCCCAGGAGTTCCCGTTGGGGCGTATCCTTTCCCATGCTCGGCTGCGTTACACGTCGGCATATTTTGTCCATCACGGCAGTGTAATATGATAGCTGCTTTGTTGTTCAATTTGCATTTCCCCTGATAATGAGTGAGTTTTCAGGTCTTTTCATGTTCATTGGATAATGGGCTTGCTCTTTTGGCAGTAGAACGTTCCCGTTATTTGCTTATAGTCACTATCGATTTGTCTCTCTCTCTCTCATTGATTTTTTTTTTTTTGGTTGGTTATGTGTGTTGGGAAATCTCTCAGGTGGTGAGTTACCTTTTAACTGGTTTCATAGTTTGGCAAAAATGTTGTTTTATTTTATTTACATGTATCATTTGTCGTTTATGGTTTTTTTTTCTTCCATTATCCTGGAAAATTTATTAAGATTTGTAGTTTGCTTTAAGGGTTATCAATTCTCATCAAGTATACCAAGCAATCAGATTGAGAATTTGAAAATTGGACAAAGCACCCCTTTACCAGTTAGATTGAATAATAAAATTCCAGTTCATTGCTTCTGCATTGGTGATATCGCTGAAACATTATTTTAAGGGTTAAAAAGGAGCCTATCACAGTTTAAATATCTCCAGCTTTGCCATTATTATTATTTTTTTCCCTTTAATTTTCTGGCTAACCACTTTACAAAGGGAATCAGATTTTTTTTGTTTTCATTTTGTTTTAAAGATTTATTTTGTTTATCTGAAAGGCAAAGTAACACAGAGAGAGAGAAACAGAGAGAAAAATAGATCTTCCATCCACTGGTTCACTCCCCTAAATGGCTGCAGCAGCCAGTGCTGGGCCAGGCCAAAGCTAGGAGCTTGGAACTCCATCTGGGTCTGCAACATAGGTGGTAGGGGCCCAAGCACCTGGGCCGTCTTCTGCTGCTTTCTCAGCCACATTAGCAGGGAGCTGGGTTGGAAATGAAACAGCTGGGACTTGAATCCTCATTCCAGTATGGGATGCTGGTGTCATGGGCAGTAGCTTAACCAGCTGCCCCACAACTCCGGGCTCTGGGGGGCAGGTTTTGAATCTGAGAACTCCAAAGTGTAAGTTAGTGCAGGAGAACCTAGTTGGTGGAAGGGGAGCAGCAATAGACTTCCAGATGTGATTTTTATGATTCATAAGAAATGCTTACAGACTCCCGAGTCCCCTACATGGCCACCTGGGCAGGAGGGACAACAACCAGCTGTTTATTGGCATCAGTGCAGTCCTGAATTCAGTTCTCTCTGATTTTATGGTTGATTCGTGTGAAGGGAAGAGGACACCAGCTATGTACCAGGCATGGTACATAAGATATTTTGCATTATCTCTACTCCTCTTGTCTGTAGACAGAATCACTATTTTGCAGAGGCAGGAATGGAAGTTGAGATTCACACACCCAACCCATCACTGAAATGCAGACCTAGACTTTGAAACTTTCTTGCTCCCACTCAGGACAACACATCTGAACCATTATGATGAACCTGCTGTGTTTGCAGGCAGTATTAGCCATTCATACTTTAGCTCAAGCTATTGTACTGAACCATAAAAGCTGTCCAAATTGGATATCCTGGAGGAACAGGTGAGCAGGTGGGCTGGTGCTGGACCATTTGAACCTGGCTTCATAGCTCCTGAGAGCCCGCGGAACGAGTCCCCAAAGATGAGATAATGTGGCCATCAGAGAGGAGGGAGTTCACTTGCTTTGTCCTTTTCTTAGGGTAGTGCTTCTCAAATTTTCATTTCTTATACATTACTGAGTACTCTGTTCAAGTGCAGACCATGATTGCTGAGTCTAGGGTGAGACACCCGATTCTGCAGGTCTAACAAGCTCACAGGTGATGCTGAGGCTGCTAGTTGAGGGACCACTGGGGTATATTCAGAACATGTGTGTTGTGGGAGATGGCATGGAAAGGGAAAACAGAGTATTTGAGGGATGCTGGGGCAGCCGGAGGAATCAGAGGGCAGAGCAGCAGTTGTTGGGGTGTGGGGAGGTTGGGGTGTACACAGTCCTAGCAATGCCTTTGCGTCCTGCTGCAGGTTCTGAGACCGGTCTGAGCACTATGTCACTTTCGCCTCTACGATGTCTGATGATTCGCTAGACACAACACTAAAGTACAAATGATCTTTACGGAGTTAGAGATATGTTTGCTTCATTGTCCAAGGATTCTTTGAGTGTAGTTCTGGAACATTCAAAGTTAATCTTTCTGCAAATGAAGTTTCTCTCCTCCTCTCCACCCCCACCCCCTTAGCTCTGGAAGCAGATAACATTACAGCTGGCAGCACCTATAAAAAGCAATCACAGCTTGTAGGCAGCTACTTCAAAAAATTTTAATATAAAAGAACAGATTTCATGTATTTCAAAGATATCATTCCAAGAATATAAGGATACTTCCCTCCCTCCCGCCTCTGTAGGTAGCTAGTTTTTATTATCTTGAATTGTGGAATATTTAAGTGGCTTTGCTAGGCAGTGCAATGTAGGCAAAGGAGAATACTTAGGAGTCAGAGGAGCTGAGTTTGAGTGTGGTGCCTCTTACCGGCTGTGTGATTCAAAATAAACCACCTAATCTCTGAGCCTCAGCTTTCTACTCCATTAAGTGGGGATGATACTGTCTGTATCAGCATCACTGTGAGACCTGAATGAGCTGACACTCGTTAAGAGGGCTGTTTTGTGAATGGTGAGACTCTCTACATATTTATTAACATTGATATTATTTAACATTGATATTAAAATTGATATCAGAGAAGGAGTAGGGGCGAGAGGCTGCCTTCCACACACAGGTTTTTAAAATCTTCTCTCACATACCCGAATGAGACAGTTATACACATTTTTTTTTAAAAAAGATTTTATTTGTTTACTTGAAAGTCAGAGTTACAGAGAGGTAGAGGCACACACACACACACACACACACACAGAGAGAGAGAGAGAGAGAGAGGGAGGGAGGGAGGTCTTCCAGGCCGGCACCGCAGCTCAATAGGCTAATCCTCCACCTGCGGCACCGGCACCCCGGGTTCTAGTCCCGGTTGGGGCGTCGGATTCTGTCCTGGTCGTTCCTCTTCCAGTCCAGCTCTCTGCTGTGGCCCAGGAGTGCACTGGAGGATGGCCCAAGTGCTTGGGCCCTGCACCCCATGGGAAACCAGGAGAAGCACCTGGCTCCTGGCTAAGGATCAGTGCGGTGCGCCGGTCGCAGCACACCGGCTGCAGCGGCCACTTGGGGGTGAACCAATGGAAAAAGGAAGTCCTTTCTCTCACTGTCCACTCTGCCTGTCCAAAAAAAAAAAAAAAAAAAAGAGAGAGAGAGAGAGAGAGAGGTCTTCCATCCACTGGTTCACTCCCCAGATGGCTGCAATAGCCAGAGCTGTGCTGATCCAAAGCCAGGAACCAGGAGCTTCTTCTGGGTCTCCCACGTGGGCCCAGGGGCCATCTTCTACTGCTTTCCCAGGCCATAGCAGAGAGCTGGATCGGAAGTGGAGCAGCCGGGACTCGTAACAGCACCCATGTGGGATGCCAGCACTGCAGGCTGCGGCTTTACCTGCTACACCACAGCGCCAGCTCTAGTTATACACATTTTCAAACATGAAACACATTTGGCCAAATTTTATGTATTTTTGGAGTGAAAGCATGGGTGGGAGGGTCTGTTTGCCTATATTACTTAAGTAATTATTTAAGTTTCTTATTTAACTTAAAATATTTAGACTTCAATATTATTTATTATGTAAAAATATTTTACAGAGTAAATAAGGGAAAAACAAGATATCCAGAAAAAATTAAAGTCAGAGTACTTTGTGGCTGTCATTTTCTTTCTATACAATTTTTGCCTTTAAAATGTTCTAATTCCCTGTTTCATTGCTTGGGATAGGAATTCGTGTGGTAAGGAAATTGTATTCTGGGAAAAAAAGGTGATTTACCTCTGTCTCTGCACAGCCTTTGGCCAATGATTTAACCATTAAGTAAAGTGTGGTTTGGGCTCACCCAGTTCCCTGTCAATCTTTGCGTTTCCCTGATCTCCTAATTGTGTTGTTGAGTTTATGGTGAGCTGACTTAGATGGAGCCACATACTATTTTAACTTTGCATTTTTTTGAAAAAAGTTAATGTTCAGCTTTTAAAATAAAACTGATCTATACTGACTGGGTCTAGACATTAAGATTTT